CCAGAAGTGGTGCTGTGGCTCAAGTGGTAGAGCGCTAGCCTTGAGCTGAAGAGCTGAGGGACAGCGCCCAGGCCCAGAGTTCAGGCCCCACGACTGGATCCCTCCCCCCCAAAAAAAGAATGACTATGTGTACTTTCTAAAAAGTGAAAATGAAGCTTATCATTTCCACAGAAAGGGAGGGAGGGTGAAAAGGAGGAGGATGGCTTCCAATGCCGGCTCTAGACTGTCACCCATGCCTATGTTCTTTTCCCCTTTTAAACAGATCTGCTATTCCTACCCTGAATGCTATTTACTTTAGGGCATATAATGGCTGTGGTTATTGTCTTGATAGAGATACCACTCAAGTTAGTGATAGATTGCTGTTTTACTGTTACTCTTGGAAATTCATAGGGGAGGCAAATGCTTCCATCTGGCCCTCTTCTTTGTCTTATCAGAACTTGTACCTCATTTCTTCAGGTGAGAAAGTCTTGTATCTTGTTTGAACTGAAAATATTTGAGCATTAGCTCCTACCAGGGTATTAACATTGCCTTGAATCATTTTTTGTTGAACTTTATATCTGGTATTCAGAAGTATTTCCAATAAGATTTGGGAACACTGGAGTCATGTTAGTAAAAGTGGTGAAGATGGCAGAAGTAGTGGGTGTGGTGGTAACAGGACAAAACAATGAATGGGCTTTAGAAATCCTGGGAGAATATCCACAGAGGAGAAAGTAGCCACAACAGCTTCAGCTGGCTTTAAATAAAACAGGTAGGACAAGCAAAATAGTAAGTCTATTCTAAGTTTTGTTTGAGATGATTGCAAATTTAAGTTTTAATTTCCAAAATAAAAAGTCAGAATCAGCAGGAGATGTGTCTCGAGTCACAAGAGTACTTGGATGGCAAGCACAAAGCCTGGAATCCAACCTCAGCACTGCCAAACAAAAACAACAGACAACAGAAAAAGAGATGTAAGCAGGGTTTATTATACAAGAAAATGAACATTTTCATAGATAACCCTCAGCTAATGGTAATTTTATCAAAAAGAAAGCTCTCTGACCTGGTTAAGTTAAAGTCAACTCATATGTTTAAAGAAGTAAATAAAGTAAGAAGAAAAGTTACTTTACAAAAGTAAGTTAACTTCCTAAAAGAAGTCTGAAACTTGTTAATACTGCAAGAAAGATTTATTGTAAAAACCTGTCAAAAATCACAAACCTACAAGGAGATAATTATGTTTATATGATTTTTAAAAGATTTTAAAAAGATTCTTAAAAATAAGAATAGTTATTAGTGTAATGTTATTATAATTATTAGTTTATGAGTCAAGTTGGGTTGTAAATTGGAAAGGTATTTTCTCTGGCTCATTTTTATTGGTGCCCAAATTCATCATGGAGAACATGATTATTGATAGAAACACAAAAAGAAATTCTGGAATATTCACATACAAATTTCTTAAAATTTACTGCATATAATTGCTAGGTCTTGCTAGAAATAATAAAAGTGACTGACTCCCTTTAGAGTATTCTTTCAAGCAGAAAGCAATATGTTCAGAGGGAATTTAATTGTGGACTTAAAAATAGATGTCATACAAGGCCATAGATAGTGTAGCAGTGAAGTGGAGTAGCTAGGGTCTCGTCCAAAGGACTTACTACTGGGCTGCAAATACAGTTCAAGGTGAGAAGCAACAAATAATCATGGGATTGATGCCACGCCTGCTGTTATCAAGGTTAGAGATAGAATGCCAGTGAAAGGCCAGGCATGAAGTCTGTTAGCAGGCTGTGCCAGACTCCAGGTCAGCCAGGGGAGTAACAAACTGCTTCACCGAACGGTGAGGAGATCAGACACTTCTGTTCCTTAGTGTTCTCATCTGTTACATAAGCAGGTTGGATAAATGATCCCTCAAATTCCAGTTCTACTATTCCACAGCCCTAAAAACCCATCAACAATTTCCTAAATAGTCAGAAGATAGAGGAAGCAAGCGATGCTCATGGAAGAGGGTAGCAATATCAGGACAATTTCAGTCAATATGGATGTTTGTAAGGTAGTTTGAGAAAAGGGCATTAATCTTCCCATTCAAAGCAGAGAAATTACAATAGTGAACAGAAGTAAAATATTAATCTCTGACAATCAATTACTGAATATGTTCTGTTTGACCCTATTAAGGAATTATGAATATTAGAAGTGGTGGATTTAAGGTGAAAATTACTTTTCATTGCAGGTAATAGGAAGACCAAAGAGCAGAAAGCATTTCTTAATTTATTTTTAAAATTGTCACAGCAAAATACTGTATATGTTATCATCTGTTGAACACCTAACACAAGATCTGAAACATGAGAGGTCCCAGTGTTAGTGTCTCTCATCAATATTGATGAGGATACCAGAGATAGGATACATGGTAAATGTCAGACACCAGAATTTCAGAGTTTGTTTTCTATCTTCCTAAGAGTACACGGTTTCATCTTTGTTTATCTTTAAAGTGTCAGGGCATCTTTCTGTAACCCAAAAGCTGATAGCAAAGCTTCCACATTGCCGCTTTCATTTCCTTGTTTCTCAAACTATAGATAACAGGATTCAGAAAAGGAGTGAGAATGGCATCAAAGAGAGCCAGGAACTTGTCCAGGTTTGATGAAGGGAAGGGCCAGGTATAAAAGAAGATTAATGGTCCAAAGAAGAGAACAACCACGGTCACATGTGCTGACAGCGTGGACAGGGCCTTGGATAAGCCTGCGGAGTGTTTCCACACAGTGACCAGAATGAAGATGTAAGACACGACCAGCACAAGGAAGGACCCCACCGAGATCAGCCCGCTGTTGGCAGTGACCATGAACTCCAGGCCATTGGTCTCTGTGCAAGCGAGTTTGATGAGCTGAGGGAGGTCACAGTAAAAGCTGTTCAGTACATTAGGGCCGCAGAAGGGCAAGTGGACAACAAAAGCCACCTGGACCACAGAGTGGATGAGACCCAGGATCCAGGCTGTGGCCGGGATTATGGCGCACACTCGCGGGCTCATGATGGTCAGGTAGTGCAGGGGCCGGCAGATGGCCAGGTACCGATCAAAGGCCATGGCCATGAGCAGCACCATCTCCGTGCCTCCAATAGCATGGATGAAGAAGATCTGCGCTATGCAACCGCCAAAAGAGATGGTTTTGTGTTTTCTAAAGAGGTCATAAATCATCTTGGGGGCTGCCACAGAACAAACGCCCAGATCCAGAAATGAGAGATTGGCCAGCAGGAAGTACATGGGGGAGTGGAGGTTGGAGTCAGCAGTCACAGAGAACACAATGAGGAGGTTCCCCATCACACTTGCCATGTAGAACACAGAAGAAAGGAGGAAAAGCAGCAGTTGGATGCCCCACAAATTGGAGAGCCCCAGGAACACAAACTCAGATACCACAGAGCAGTTGCCTCCATCCATTGTGCTGGAGGTCAGTGCTGTCTCTGACATTTCCTGAAAAGGATAGCAAGAGAAAATCAAGCTCTGTGGAGTAACTAACAACAGGACTTCAAATTATAAAGAAGAAATATTGCCTTTTCACAGAGCCAAAACACTTATACACAACACTTTACACTGAGTTGCAGAAAATGGACATTAACGCAGCGTCACAAGGCACCGCTTCTAACTCCTCAAAATCCCTAAGGACCTCCAGTGTGGGAACCAAAAGATCTGGAAAAACAAATGGCGATTCAGAAGGAAGTTTGGAGGACCAGGAACTCACTGGAATAGCATGAGGAAAAAGAAATGAAAAACAATGCACAGAGTTTGTTTTCAAAACACAATCTCTCTCCCTCTCTCCCTCCCTCCCTCTCTCTCCCCCTTTCTCCCTCTCCCCCTCTGTCTCTCAATTGCTTTTACTTGTTGGCAGCACTGTGGTTCGGTCTAAGGGCCTTGGGCTTTCTTGGCTGGCGCTCTACTGCTTGAGCCGTGCATCCAGCCCATCAAATGGTTTCTCTTCGGTTGTCCGTGTGTGCAGCGTATGCAGTGCTGCCACTCTCAGGTGCTCTCCTTCATGTTTAGCTTCATGCCATTCCAGCCCTATCAGATGAATTACGCCTTTTCTTCCTAAGGAGAGGAGGTAACATGAGGACTTACCACGTAGTGCAAGGAGGGGGGCACCACCATGACAGGGTGTGACGGCATGGTGGTGGTAGGAAGCCCCAGGTCAGAAAACAGACGAACCACGAGAGTCTAAGCATAGATAAAAGACAGTGTAGCAACGAGTCTACAGGCTCGATACCCAGGGACCAGCCTTTGAGCTGTTGAATGTTCTCCATTCATGGATGTGTATAAAGATTGCCCTTGGAGCAGAGGAAAGCAATCAGGTCCTAACAGGCCATGGGGAACTTGAGCAGGCTCGTTCTCTCACCCCTTCCATC